ATAGAACGAATCAGCCAATGTTTGTCCAGTCGATCAATCGATGTCATGAATGCAATCTGATTGATTGGTGCGTCACTGCGCCGTTCTTGTATGCGTGATTTGTTCTATATATTTTGTATCGATTTCTAAACAAAAAATACACAACAACTGTTGTCTCAACCTGTGTTCTCCCTCCGCATTATCGTTGGTGTTTGAGCAAGAGTCGCTCGTGTCATTCGTACGTCTATTCCGAACACAACAACCTGAATGGAATTAAGTACTACTCTACCGAAATGAATAATTCCAGTGTTCAAAAGGTTGTCTATATTCCTAGTCAGTCGCTTCATTTAGTCTGGCAGTAATCAGTGGAAACAAAGTATTGTTTCTGACTCCCACAATACGCCAAGTTCGAGTTCCAGAGGCATGGGGGGTATGCGTTACTAATATTCCCGAAGAGGGGCATACCCCAGTCTGGCGCTTGCCCACTGTGTAATTGATGAGATAACGTGAAGTAAATATCTGTAGATTAAATCTTGTCAGGTAGCAATCGGTTTGTAATATGATGCAACGTTTGTAAGCATTTATGCTTAAACATTTCAGTAGAAAAGAACATCAAACATTTTATCACAGATGAGCACACAAAAATGGACCAATCATTCAACTGTATTTCGCCACAAACCTCTGATTGCTTAAATTTATTGAGCGTATATCAAGTGAAAATATGCAGGCTAATATGAAATCCGCTAGAACAATGTTATTCAAATGCAGAAATCTTTGAACTATTCACAAATCCAAAATCCTAAGATGGTTAATTGTTCGCTGATAGATAGAGTTTCGAAACTGTCATTCACTGAGTTAGCCGACAAAGTTCGATGGCTATGTTTCAAACGTCTGAATCCAATCAAAAGTCCCATTAGAATATTGTTTGCTAGACACCCGTCTGCAACATTTTCTTTACTGACTTNCTGACTTGTTGTGAGGCTGAGGCTGGGGCTGCCGGGGGGGGGGAGATAAGGCTAAAATAAAATTTTAACACAGTAATAATTTATTGAAGTGATATATGTGTTCGAATTTCAATACTGCAAAACAACAGGGATTCTTTTGATCGAACATCATCTCTTTTGCAGATCCGTCTCGGGAACGTCCTCAATAGAGCAAAAATACACAAACACACACGCACATATGCCCGGAGACGTATAAATACGTTCCGTAACGAGATGAATCATCCACAAGGTCCGTATCGGCTTCGTTCCTGTTCTGTTGCGATTGAGCACTGTGTACACCCGACCAGGTTTAGAAATTAGATAAGCATTTTTGAGTTCTCATTGGTCATCAGCTGCGTGAGAATGAACCAGGCAAACGAGGCTAGGAAGAACACCGGTGACGAGATCCAGCTCACAATCAGGGACCAGTGAGATTTGACGCGAATCAATTCAGGCTGATAGAACTGTGTGTGCGTATGTGTGAAAAGAGACGGATTGGAGGGGGGGGGTGCAGATCGTCGAGAGGAATACAGATGATGAAAGATGGTGGTGAAGATTATGAATAAGAAAATATTATCAAGGTTTTTGCAAAGGAGGATGGGAGTCAATTTCATAGGATAAATTCGTCTTGTATGGCGCAAATGAATCTTTTCAGTTTACAGTTCATTTGCTCAACGTAAAACGAATTCCATCTATGACGTTTCTGATCAATATAGTTCTCCTGTTTCTGTTGGTTCGGGCGTATTTACACAAGCTTAGTGTTGTCAACAGCCAAGGCTGACAATGGGTGAGTAGATTTGTTTGTGTTCATCGAATACTTGTTTTCGTTTTTTAAGTCGACGTATCACTGAGCTCCATAGACTGCTTTGCAAACACTAGACAGCCGCGGTGGGTAAATTCATAGAGCAAATTGTAATTAAAGAATAATGGTGGTAGCGTTCAAGCACTCGCTGGATGAGCGTTATAAAGCAGATATTAACGATTCACAGTGAACTGACCATTGACTACTTGAATAACCCAGGTGACTGTAGTGCGTCTGATTACCACTCACCCACTCATCCACTTCCGTATCACCAGTCCAATAAAAACGGAATCAGTGAGTACTGAAGATTATAAAGAGATTAAACTATCGCTTAGAATGCTAATCTACGTTTAGTGATATATAACCGAGACATGACCAATAGGTTGTCATAGAATACATACAGAAGCTACTCAACCTATCGTCTTTGTGCACTGGTCAAATTATTAATCTCACTTTGTATTTAAACTTAAATGAACCACATAACCAGCTTAATGTGGATCGAAATGCTTTATTTAATAAAATCGTTCCTCACTTCTAGTGAAAACAACTAAGTTGGTAAAAAGAGAAGAGTTCTTGTTTGATCTCCGTGCAACTGAATCTTTGATTAACCAGATGTATTTTTGTAGGAATAACAGTGTGATCCGTCACACCCGATCACGAAATTACGGACTAATATTTATGCAAGACTGTGCTTCCCATGAACCGTACGTTAATGTTGAGGACCGTCGTCAACCTCAGTAGTGAGAGTTTATCCATCCACCTGAAGATCTTCCGAGGGCCTCCCAACAAGGACGAAACACCTGCTAAGTACAATTTATCTGACACCCTAAACAAAGTCTTTGCAACTGAATGACACTGTTAATAATAAAAACCAGTTACGCCTGAGATCTTAGTTTTGGACTCGAGATCTCGGATTAAATTATACGAATAGTTCACTGCACACATCATTGATTCATAACGTGATTGATTTGCATTACCTGTGTAACACGCTGGATAAAATTTATGTGATAGCCCATTGTAAACCTGATATCAAAGGTGGGACTTTTGCCAATAAAATTCATCAGTCGATCCTGCGTGTGGTACTAACTTTTTTCGATTCAGAAACTTAAGTCCAAACACTGTCAACCAACTGAATGATCAGTTTGTCCCCGATATTTCGAGCTCAAATTGGACTCTTTTGCACGTATTGTGTGTTTCACATGAGTGCATTTAATAACAAAATCACATAATTTAATCCGGATTCGGAGGGGTAAGTGAGTAACGAGGTTTCCAATAAAGATTGGAGGGAGGGGTGGGGGGGGGGGGGNGCATTAACAAAATGCTTTGGGCCGTTTTTGTCACAAACCTTCCCTGCTTGGTATTTAGGTCGCATGTAAAAACCAAACTGCGTTGATAGCCGAACGCAAATCCTGTGAATCATTTAGTCACATTCACCAGCTGCATTCACTGTTGCATAGCTGGTTGAAAGAAGCTTTCCAGTGTTCACATAGATGATCACCTGAAACGTTGTTTCGCACCATAAGGTTGATTTGGATAAACAGAACGGGATGGGCGAACCTTGAAAATGGTTTTTAACTCGAAGTAGGCCACGATTTTAGTCACTATCTTTACAAATTACCTTTTCTTTTTCGCTTCAGACTGCATTGGTCATATAATAGTAAATAAATAAAACAAATTTGTTCATCTTTCGTGTGTCATTCAAAATATATTCCACTGAGATGTTTACATTATTTGTCATTTGATTCAATGGAGGGAAATTATCGAGAAGTCTTAACTCTGATTATTTTGCAATACGGCAGAAAAGAGGTATGTAAGCAACTATACCTCAACACAGTTTTACAGTAGTGTTTGGTAACAATGTAAAATGACGTTTCTAAATGTGTTTTTATTTCTAACATCACTTTCAATTTAAACGAATTGGTTAAAAAAATTGGTATATGACAAAAAAGGATAAGACACTGATTGTACCATACATGGGTGACAGTGCTTGCGGTCAATTAAAAAATGAGCTTAGGGCTAAACCCAAAGTGTTTTAATAAAATATGAATCCANATCCAGTGGAATTGTAATGTCTTTTTGCATTTGCGATTATCGATCTTTACTTGGAAGAACCTAATCGTTGAATGCTATGGGTTAGATGAATTATAATAGATAGAGGCGCCCTGATCACGAAACAGATGATGTGGATAAGATTGCCTCGGTTCAATCATCAATGAATGACCTGATGTACTGTTCATTTATGGATATAACAACCAAAAATTACAGCATCTGTCCTACTCAATCCCGTACCGTTGGTTGTCAAGATAGATCGTTACTCTCTTGGTTTTCAGCGCTGAGTCACATGGTGTTGACATGAGGTTGACAAAACTGGATCAATCTGTTTTTCATCTGAATCGAAACAGAGCGGATTAGGGTTACTTCTGATGACCTGTGGTCAGCAAAACATAGAAAACCGTTGCAATTTCGTGATATTATTTGGTTCAAATAAGGTTTCTGTATGTGCACAACGATCATTGACACATAAAGTGAAAATATTTGGAATAGCTTAATTCAGAACCAGTAATCATTCACAGTAAAACACGTGATGCAAACACTCACCTCGTCCGGGATTTTTGATATCGGGTGGCATGGACCCCACTCGTATTCCAACCGGTTTATTTTGGTATGATGAATGCAGTTGGCGAATACAACGAACACACCTAAAAGTGGGTGAGAAAGTGAGTTGAGGGTACATTGAGGTATTACAATGAGAAGGTAGCTTGATAAAAATTTATACAATATGTTGACAATCATTAATGAAATGTAAACGGTGGTATTATATGACCCTTTCCCCTTAACAAAACGCAGAACTACATTGAACAGGAGTATAGGTAATGTACGAGAACAACACATGTGGTTGGTCCAAAAACAAAAGAATTCAGAAGGAAAGAAGGAATCCAGTGGTAAGAGTTTATCTCAAACATTATGATTTGCAATGCACAATTCATTCATGAACCTCACTCCTTTCAAAGACGATACTACAGCTGTTTATACTATCTTCACCATCCTAGGGATACCGTGTTTGGACCCACTGCCTGTAATGTGTACTGGGGAATTCATTTGAACAGCAACCTTCACTTAACAGTGTCTCTTGCTGGTAACAAACAGCAACAACTAAGATCATATCAGGAAAACAATAGACCGTTCGTTCTGGTTATTATATATGTTCGCCTACATAATTTCGAAAAATGTAATACTTTCAAAGAGAAAATCCCCATATCGCCCTGATGCAATACTTGGCCACAGATTCAGCTTTGTTTTTTTAAGTGAAACATTATCTGACCAAACGCGCTTATTTTGGTTGAAGCTTTTTGTTGCCCTCCACGCCTTTTTCACCCACAAATCTGTCAGGTGATCCCTCCCTCAAATGTCACTGTCTTGACCCGTGCGTAATATCGATAGTCGGACATGCACTTTTCGTTCGTTCCATTTCTTTGTTAGTTCACAAATTTAGGTTACCTCCTCCCCTCTCTCTCTTCTTGTGACCGTTGTCCCTGACCCTGATATTGTCTGACTCACCCTGCCCTATGATGATCGTATGTAGTTGCTTAATCTTATTCGAATCCGTCCTATGTCTCACCCATGCACCGCACTGTCCCATGTGCACATGGGAGCCCCGACGTTTCGCTTGTTTGTGTGACAGGGTGGTGAACTGCCTCATTCACACCTTGGTTCTCGATTGGCATAGTTTACTTCACCGGTTCAGGCACACCCCCTGGGAACGCCATGATTTGAGTTCCGCATACTTATTCCCTGTTGTTGGAGCCGAATAAGCGTATAGAACATTTGGATTTGACTTCTGAGGTTGCGCGTCACTCAAAGATGGTCTGGATAGTCATGTGGATTTCACTATTTTTCGTGCAGCATATTTTTTACCGTCTATGACCATCATATGCAGGGTGACACCTGTGTGAGTCTGCAGCTTAGATGGAATGAAGATCAGTTGATTTCGAATACAAACTCACATTGTATTTTGTACTATGAAATGAATTGCTTTAAGTATGGCAATCTTTTCATTCATGATAACTTGACTCAATATTGCACAACCTGTCAGCGATAAAGGCAAATATTTCGAGTTGTAAATATAGTTACCATTTTCCAAACTTAGCGTCGGAAATCAAAAGATCAGACGCACAATTATAATAACAATGAAAGTAATTACAAAGAATGCGCCTTTTCACTAAATATGGAATCGGTTTCTTTTCAGGAAAAAATAAACAACCAAACAGTATAAGCTCAGATAAGAAAGTAAATTGGCAGCACTGGGAAGAATCATTTATCACCGGTCCTATTTTCATTTATTTTCTTCACTCATAACTCGATTTCAGAATAGACAGGGTAGATTGATCAGGACAAAGTCAGGATACCAGTTTGAGCGTCTGTCTGCGGTAAAATAATTTTCTGCATTCATCGATCCATTCGTTTGAATTCTGCTTTCCCAAACCACTGCTAAGCTCAAGAATCATAAATCGTAACGAGTGAGTTACCACGCGGGTTAGAATTGGGTACCAGATGAAGTTCAGGTTTTGAATGGTTTCTAGACAATTTTGCTAAATCCAAAAGCACGTGTATACAATATTTAAGTGGTCGACAATATAAGGGTCGACTTCTGCGGACTTCTGCGAATAATATCCCACACTGAATGCGTTTGTTAGCAGGATAATAATATGATTATAAGCTATTCATACGATTTATACAGTTGCGGACGGTGAATAGAAATGACTAGTGTCTCGGCATATTTGGAAGTCCTAGATTTATCTGTTTTTATGGGATTCTGTATATATCAGTCAGAAAGTTGCAGGGCTTCCCCCAGATTTTGTGGTATGTTTTTTTACCGGTGAATTCTTATTTCGAAATCCAAACTGACTGTTATCTGATGCCAAACTAGGGTATTTTCAGTCACTCGGAAACATGTCTGTCTCTGCACCCGACGGTCGAGTGCCCACAAATGAACTGATAAAAACGTTTCAATTTGGTTTCGAGCAAAAACAGTTCCTTCACCGAGGATGTTATAACAGAGGAAATGTGAACATGTTGATGTTTTAAGTTGCGTCTGGTAACCCACTGTAAGTGACGATTGATCAGCCAACTGATACTCGAAACCAATATAGGGAACGGACAATTCTTCCATCTTTTATGCATTAATTTTAGGTGTTTTCAAGACGACACTCTTGAATGTCCGTCTAATCACCACGTTCTCATAATAACTCGCTCATATTAAGACAATCTAAGACAATCTTCCGTGAAAATATTTCAAGATCTGTAGAGCGGCATCCGGTCTAGACTGACGTTATCCCCCGTTGAGCTAAATCTAGAGAAATGAAGGTACCGTCCATATATAGCATCCTTCCAGCACACAACACACATTAACAAAAACAAGATGTCAAGACCGCAATCTGTAGTCAGGATGTACATGTTTATCGGTCCGGAACTTATGGTTACAAGTCACCTCTAATACACACAAGATTGGGAACGATTCTGATTTGAAATTCCATGAGATCATCTCTGTTGGTTATCTTCCCATTTCTTGGAAAAGATTCATTAAGTCTGTTGTATGAAATCAATACTCTAAGTAAAAATTCATCCCTGCACATGAACACTATTCCGAGGTCATTTCCTTGACTGTTAATGATTGCTCTTCTTCATAATCATCTGCTTCTTTGAAATCCAACCGCATATAGAAAATAAGGAAGTAAAGATAACAGCCTATCTGTACTCCGATCACTGATACGCAACCGATCAGTTGCGTACCAATTCTGACACATGTAGATTAGATACTGAATCTGTAGAATTCCGAAAGACCTGGGACAAATGTGTGATGCGTTCATTGCAATCCGTCCATTAGGTGGATTACACGTGCGGATAGCAGAGTGTTAATCAGTGTTAGCGTATCGAGTGATGTATGTGCATAGCTCTGTGACAGTTTTAGATAGTTTGATTGCGTGCAACGATACACAGTTACGATAAAGGCCAACAGAGCGATGTTGACGACCCGGTGTCAGAGAATTGGATGGGGTATAATCAATCATCGTAAAATAGTTCGCCAACCCGAAGAAAGAATATATTAGAGCAATTCACTTTTTCATTCATTTGAACGTATCACTACGTCCTTCACCACGATAATCAAATGCAATGGAGACCCATTATGTTTTACTACCCAAAAGAAGAAATCCTGTTCGCTTTGGTGCAGAGTACGACAGTCAAGAAATAAACACTGAGGTGACTCTGTTTCCTACTCAGATTGAAGAATAAACAAAAATGCTGCTGGCTATGGAAGAGGATGATGTTAATTTTGTAGTGAGATGAGGGTGTAAGAAAACATAGCATTGTATGTATTTCTTGACACTCACTGGGCCTAGGGGTTTTACAGCTGTGGATGGATGTACCACGTAAATGTTCCGCTCCTCCCGTGAACAGCAGATTTTAACAGTCAAATAATAACAGAACGCCTTGTAGTCGTTTTGGGTAAGTATACGTCACCGAGGTGCATTGGGACTGCGTAATACATCTACTCAATAACGCTCTATACCGGAATCAAATGGAGTGTTCACCCCCTGTTCTGATGAACTCTGCATGGCAAAGTCTATTATTATTAGTATTAGTATCCGTAACGGACAATCAGTGCCCATTTCCCATTTCCAGATTCGGCAACCTGTTTCTGTCTTTCCTGATTCACCTGCCCCTGTGAGATGCGGCACATTACCCGCATACCAATTATCAGAACATCATTCAACTTGGTTGATAATAAGGATAATTGAGATAACTATGAGCAAGGTTTGCTTGCCTGAGTCAAATCATTCGTTCATTATTTTACTCAGGTTTAGATTGTCTGATGTAGGAAACCAACGGTTTTGTAGCCGTGGATCCTAGCCACGGTCAAAAATCTGATTTGTAAACTCCTCCCCTAGGTGAAATTCGTGACCCGCTTGGTCCCCTCACACATGGATCTTTTAACTCTGTGATGAATTTCAGATACGCATACATGTTTCCTGGCACATAAGAACCATAAGGACTGTAAATGGCCATCCCCCTGCTTTTGCTGTTAATCTTACTTAGTGGTATGCATTAGAATGACTAAAAATAACTGAGAGCGAGCTTGTAAGTCACGTTACTCTGCTGTGCATATGTTCTGTGGAACTGCTCAAACATTACTTGCCACACCTGTCTCAAATGCGAACTAACCCGCCGCGCTTTGGCTAAACTGGAAACATTCTGATTCTGGCTCCGTGCTTCATGGCAGTGTTGACAAAATGCACAACGATCCTGTTGGACAGTGAAATTAGCATTTGGCTTACGTTCTGCCTATACGGTTCCAGGTTCACTCGCTAGTTGAGTTGACGCATTAGCACTAGTGGTGAAACCTAACAGCTGAGTTAACGAAGTGTTATAAATAATTTATGTGATATCGTCGGTCGATCAACGGGGTGGTGGTTTGTTTGCTTGTTTAGACGTATCAACAGTGCATGCGTACCTCACCTCTCTTATGTTGTTGATGACCTCGAATCCTCGAATCGAGATTAGAAACAGAAACGCCCGCCGGGAGATGCACTGAGCTGCGCGGGAATTCGCTGACAGGAGTCAGGCATTGGTGCTTTTTGTTATGGCTACTTTTCATCCAAATTTTGAGGGATACATTGAATGATTGCTTGTCCTTTTCGAACAACTACCCATTGAGACGTTGGAAGTGGATATGATTTGTGCAATAAGTTCGTGTTATGGCTTCGCTCAAAGAATAAGTAGCATGGGACTATTGACCATGGGCGTTTGCATTATGAATGGTAACAAACAATCCCTATAAAATGCATCCGATAAAAAGGCGTTCTGAAATGTGCGGTACAATCATGAGGTTTAGTAGTCTGCCCATAAAATTTACAACAACCACGTGTGGGGATTGAGCAGCTCAAACTTGTTTCAAATACTGATGATGAAGGCTGACATCCTAACAAAACAAATTATATGCTTCCTTGATAACACTCGCGTCTATTGGTTAAAGAATACACACAGATTAGTCAATTCCTTCATGCTGTGGCACACCCTAAACTCACAGCTGTCAATGCCCGACACTTCCTACGAAAGCCATCAGCCTATCTAACAGGTCACAAGTACACTGACCCTAGCAAATAACGAGATTACCGTTAAGCAACCCTTCTCTTTTCTTAGGCACGATTTTACAACTGCTTTCGTTTGCAGAACATTATTTGGACCAGTTCTTAGGAACTAAACGCAAAACGGTGGAATGAAATCTTGTCTTTTTGCCCGTTTTTGGTCATTGAGTTATCCTTTTAGGGGCTTCTGCCCAGAAAAGTCTTCCCAGGTGTAACAAAGCAAATACCTGACTTGATCAGAGTCTGAGTGCTATTTTGAATTTTGCCACCATAATGAATTGCATAGAGAGTCTGTACCAGTGCTAATGGGAATAATTATTTTTACGCCCATGCTCAAGTATGTAAAAACAATAGCAAACTGTGTGCCCTGTTCCTTCGGCGAGTAAATTAAATGACGCAATCGGTTCATAATCACAGCCACGTATATACACATACTGAAACATTCTACACACGTAGGTTGAGGCAGAGAATGCACCACTGTCCATTGAGGAGATTCAATTCCGCACTGGCGACTCACAACAGCTTTTCATTATTCATTAAACTCATAGTGTTCGAAGACTGGTTGGGAGGGGACTACGAGGTAACGAGAGCCCCTTTATGGGGAATGACTGTAGTCAGCCTATCGTATCCAGCCTGCCAACGCCAACTGTGGTTACAACCTACGCCTAGATAAAACTGGTAGAAATGAACTGTATATAAAAATGAATAATTCATTAATTCAGCTAAAATAATATTCAACTTATGTACGGGAGCTTTTATTCACTGAAAAATCACAAACATATATTCAATTTCATTCCGAATAAAGTTTTTATTTGTTGTTGGCTGTGGTTTAAATTAACTGAGCATTGTTCTTTCTAGTGCTGAACAAAATACGTCCAGACTGAACATGCTGTACAGCGGCTTCGACTTTGTCAAATCTCATCATTCATACAAATCCATTGACTTAACTGACCTTGACTGAACCCAAACGCTTCGAGGTAGAGGTATAACAATTTGACCGCCTGGCAGATAATAAGATCACTTTGATTGTCGCAGCATGAACCATTCTTGCGACCTTGTTGCATTCATTTCAATACAAACCTTTTTGGTTGGGACTCGGGCGGATACAGTCCAAACCTGACCACTGCATTTTCATTTTACAGATCTGGCGTCGTAACAAAAGACTGGGTGAGCTGTATGATTACGATCACCGGCGGTTCAATCGGTAAAGCCGGAAACCTAAACCCCGAGACATGGAATCGTGAACCAAATGAACACCCCATAGGTTAGACGTAGCATTGAGCTGAATAGCAGCACACCTTCCAACCACCAAAATTGTTTATTGGTGGTGTGGTGAAGAAGAAACACGGATAAGAACCGAGGAAATTTCAGCAAAACCGCCTGAGGCTCCACCACTGTGTCGTGCTACAAGGCTGTAGTAAAACTCTCTGTAATCACTGCCGCCACACCTTGATATAAAAGGTGTGCTAACTTGAAGCTATCTGCCATTAGTCGTCTCATTTAGTACTACTCACCTCAAATTATACCTGGTGGCAATAACAGCCCTGCCACAAATCTTTCACGTTAACATATGTGACGCGTTAGCACTTGTCTGCAACCGATCGAAGCAACGTTCGGATCACAAATCCTATAAATAGTTTAGCTCGTTGCTCTTCAGTTGCGAAGAAGAATGTCATTTTTCTCGTGAACACATTTGATAGTGAAACCTGAGGTCACTCGGACGATGCAAATGCGTCCTTCGCCACAAATGAAAACACTGTAGAATCGGTGAATTGTGTACATTTTCTGCTTGTCTTTGTACTTGGTCTCTTAGTGTCAATCAAAATTGAACGAAATTTACTCGTATGTCGATGGAGCACAGGCTTCCTAACCAACTCACTCATTCATGTTGGGGAACGCCCTCTGTGTAAGAGTGAACCAGGAATTCCTAACAACCATTTTGTTAGTTACCCTTAGCAACATGCTGCTCCATGCTGTATATTTGAAGTACTCTGAACTAGGTAGATTTGCGTTTGCCACTACGAAGGACAGTTCTACAACTGGCGGACTATCCTTGAGGCTTTATGACCAAACGGAATGTTGTTTGTTTAAATAACTCATGTTACTTATAGTGTATAATTAGGGATATAATATTCAGTGGTCCACGAAAGTGATCTGAGTCAAATCTAATTTTCTGAGTCTGACGAACAATTTCTTGGATAACTTTTCATTCATATTTTGATAACTGATAGTCAATACACTGCAGACAGCTTTGAACATAATGTGCAGTTCATTTAAACACATTACACATTCAAATTTACTGCGGAGTAATAACACTAAGAAAACAACGAAGGAACACCAAAAAGTGTTCAAGTTAAAATTTCAAAAAACAGCTTCTTTTTACTTTTTCGGATACAGGTTTTATTTGAAAAATTGGTACTAATTCACAGATTATGTTGATTTATTTGTATTTTGTAAGCGATTGAATCTTAGAGCCAAAATTGGGGAAGTAACCACGGTGAATCGAAGACCGCCGTTAAAAAAGGAAGGTTTAGTGATTGTGAAAGGGTATGGAATATGAATACTCAATGAATGCTGATCAAATCTTACAATGTGAGTTCGTGTTCTAACCCCCTTGAAAACGTATTTTATTACCATGTAAAAAGCATTTAATGATGTCCACATCAGAGGTGACCAACTGAGTATACGGTTTACTCCTAACATTACGTTGACAAAACACCACCGCTTAAACGAGAATATACTATCAACAAACATCACACAAATTTAACGAATTCCATTTCTATTGCCGAATGTCATTTATTTACATGGACACCAATACTTTTACTTCCTAATCATTTGAACCGGGTGCAAACCTACGAAACTGGGCAATTGATTTCCATAATTAGATGGTTGCATCGAATCTCGTCAACCTAACTAAAGCAGTGTCAAATGGAACTTTTGAGCACGAATTAGCGATGACAATTGATTTTATTTTCTTTGTATGGCATGGGGTGACATGGATTGTTTTAAACCATCTCGCACGGGGTCAGCAGCCGGTTCCGTAAGCTTTCTTGACTGGTCTCAAGTAAATAGACTGATGAAATCCGCTTACTGTACTCCCGCCTGTTTATAAAGTGACAGTGATTCAAGGGAACATGTAATTTCAGGTCACCTTAAAGTATTAGTATTACATTTGGCCGCTCGTGTGATTGCCTCGATGTGGAATGCTTCAAGCACACAATCAAATTCACGGTTCATGCTGGATTTGGTTGGGATAGGGGTAGAGATTTCATCAATACCTTTGGTACTTCGGTTGCGCTACAAGAGAAGACTTAAAAGGCAGATGAGTACTTCCGAGAAACTGCAAAAAACCTGAAACAGTTACGACTACTATCTTCACCATTGCCACCAGTATGATTGCATCGAATTTCGTTTAACCCCAGAAACAGTGGAATCAAAGCTTGTTTTCTTCTGCGTTATCTGCGAGTTGAATTCAGCAATTAATCGTTAAACAGTAGCTTAACATTTGGTTTCAACGCAGTAAACTTTCTGTGACCCTGTCTGAATATTTGCCGCGGATATCACAAAAACCCTTACTCCGTAGATTTAACTCAAAAATAGAATCTTATAAAATCCGGTAAACTGTTTATTTTAAAATACAATTTCGTTTGGGGAAAGAATTGCCTAAAAGTAACGAAGCCATGAATTTGAGACCACTGACCTGATGTCACTTGCAGTACACCGGTGACCATGGAAGCTGGAACGTTACGGAAGACCGTTGCGAATATGCCAATCAGCACGGACGAGGCCATGCATAGGTAGACTACAATAACACAGGAGATTATGTTGTTTTGCATTTCTGTGAACAGAGAAGGGGAAAGTTCTTATTCAGAAAAAAGATTGTTGACACAAAAATCAAACAGAGAATACATGTGAAAGTAGAAAAATAGATGCTCCATTGGTAAGTGATCGCTAACTGGGTACACCTGTATAGTTAAGTTTGATTCGCTTCCGATGAAACCTATTAATAAGATATTAGTAATAGCATGAGTAGCAATATGAATATATGATTTCACAAATATGCCACCTTCTCTAGATAAACAATATTTCAAAATGTTTTAAAAATTTAACAACACATGGAATTAGAAAAACCATAAAGTCTGGGGTAAATATGATGCTTCTTGCTCTTTTTGGTCCGGCTTACATGTGAAATATTCTTAGCAAACCATAGTTCTCAGTTTTGCTCTTGAACATTACACTTGATCAGATGCGCACTTGTGCTTTTTCATTCTCCAATGCATTTAACAAAGAAAGCTTATTTGTACTAAATTTGTTCTATTCCGACATTGCCATTACACAGGCGCATGGTAGATACTATTACAATCTTCAGTTTCACACTGATTTCAGGTCTGTCTCAGTTGGTGCTAACCAGTAACTGATCAAAGTAGCCTCGATAACAATGTATAGCCACTCAGAAAGTGCGCAATAGGAACACCAAAGCCAAGAAACCGTTTCACGTTGCAATCATACTCAATAAAAGGCCCCGTCTAATTTGTTTTCTATCAGATAATGAAAAGATCTTCAAATAAAAATAAAATTTGAAATGTGCTCTATGGGACTGTTTAGACAAATAAAAATCAATCTAGAACATGTTCCTCGAATAATAATTACCTTTAAAAGACGTTTCATGCAATTCAAGCAAAACGTTTATCACTGAAACTGTAACAAGAAAGCCACTGATACTATTCTCCTTTCAGCCTATGAGAATGAGTGCTGTATTTTCAAGGATAAAACAATTTACTCAAAAGCTCGTAAACAAATAGAGGTTTTTATTTACTACTATTGAGCACAAGTACTGTGCTCCATAAAGTGGTTAAATGAATCAGTACTTCCATTCTACTCTAGATATTTCAGTATTATAATCCAGAAATGAATTTGTCCTCATTCCCGTTATTTTGTCATCATCTTATTACCGTCGCGAAGTGTTCTCACCTTACCGAAGGCAGGCGAATGTTTCTTCCACATAAACAAGCTTTCAGATGATAGCCACATTTTCTGTAATAGCTTTCTAGTTACATCGATCCATCAGTCGAGTCATCATCGTCAGATGACTGAATTGTGAAAGGATTTGTTTCTACCTAGAGGGAAGAATATATCTGGCAGCGGAACCCGGGTGACCTGTCATCGAAGTACACAGTTAAGTTAATCAATGAGACACTGCAGGTGTGTACGTTAATTCAAAGGAATAAGGGTTCAAATCAATTGCCTAAGTGCTTGTAAACATAAAATCCCTTTCTATTAACGTTGACCGGTTTATTCACGGAACGTAATTCTCAGAACTCTTATTCCATAGATTGAGTGACACAAATTGTGGGTAATGCGAAATTATATATATTTGTATATGGATGCTTAACTGCTCATTAAAGTGTGGTAACTTTTAGCCCCCTACTGAAATACTAATTCTGAAGAGAGTTTTGTTTCAAATAAAATCTGAAAGTGAATGGATGAAGCCTGTAAGACTTAAATTGAGTAAAACAATTAGGACCATCCCGGCATTTTTGAATTTCGAGAATGTGCATGGAAATGCCGTTGAAATTTCATTATGTTTTATTCCCCCCGGTTTTCGGTATTGTTTCTTAGCTATATCTCAGATGCATTTAAATACACCAATGGTTCATAGGTACGCATATCCGGAAATAGTCGTTTTTCACGTGTCAATTGTTTGCAGTTCAAAACGAAACCCGACCGAGCATCGCATGCAAGGTAAAGCCCCATAGTTTGTCACACGTATTCGCAGGGACCTCTCTTCAATATTCTCCGTCTAGTAGGTGTCATTACCATAACAAAGTCTGAGCTTATTTTCTATATCCCAGTTTGAATGATACTGAAAATCTAGTGACCTGATATATTCTTGTATTTGGACAAAATAAGGCGATATTCAAAGATATGCATGAAGTTGTTAATCAATTACCGAAATTAGCGTTGGATCATTGTGAAAACTTTGTGAATGTAAAGTGGTCCAGAGTTTAGTAGCCCATGTAACCATACGAAAAATAAAACCGACATAGTTAGCCCTATTCTTTTGCATTTTTAAATAATGAAAAGAAATTATTTATTAGAGGTTTGGAATTGTTTACTGTCCTGTATATCGAAGGGAACAATCAACGTTCACTAAATCGATAGATGAAAAAATCCACGTTTAATACATAAACTAATTCTCATTTGCTTCGTGCGTCAAATGGGGTATTTAGCTATGTCATGAATGATTAAACCAATGGAGTTTCTGTGCCTCTCCAGTGGAATCCATTCACTTTACTTGGAATTGTCATTATGACACATTTCCAATCGCGTAAATGTTTTTAAAGAGCGTCTTCATTTGGACTGTGTTCAGGCTGGAGTACTGGACTACAGTTTTCTCGTGTTCTAGTGGAAAACGATTTCCAGGTTGTTCAGACTGAGGAAACTTACTCAAATTTATACAGAATCCGTTCGCAACTGATGAGTTACATTATTTAATTGGAAGTTCAGCGGAAGCAATTTGCATTTAGTTGAATTCGAAACGTGAACAACAAAATGGTAAGATAACCACACATTCCAGGCACGTGAAAAATGAACAGACAGAAAACTAAGCAACACATTGGGCAAAGCAAATCCATCTGCAACTTACAAACATCGAATCCAACTTACACACTCGGTGTAACCGAAGAATAACTTTACCTTCTCCTCTTAAAGTGTAATCACATTTTTGTTGATCAATCCAAAGTGCGATTGTGATCGACAATTAACCGACGTGTAAGAAGCTAACAAAAACGATTGATGTATCAAAAAGCATTTAGATGCACATGCACCTGTCATGTGAAATGACTCAATGCAACCCTGCCCAGCTAACGGGGAAAGTGATAAACATTTTAGGGACCAGTCCTCGCAAAGGAATCATTCAATCAGGGAGAAAAACCAACGTATTGATTACGCCTCGTGGTGTTACCTTCACGCACAAACATCAGTTCATTCGTCAACCAAATTAGCACACAGCAATAAAATTCGAGCTTCGTCCTGTTTACACTTATTCAGTAGTGCATGTACACCGCCCGGTACTTGAACCTCCTATCGATTGTGTTTCCAGATCACTCACAAACCGATTATATATGTCGCTTTCAATGCCCGAGAGACAAGTTGTTGTCATAAGAAATAAAATAATGTAGATAAAGTTAACGATCTTTTAATCCCTTTCGAAAGGTCTTTCTTGTACGTACAGGATGGCATAGCAAAACTATATGTACTAGCTGTATGTAACTAACTGTATGTGCTTACAGTCAAAGTAGAAGTCATCAAACTACGGATAGTGTTCACCCAAGTGTCCATTGTGGATCTGTATTTTGCTTTTTTATTTACTTTTGTTAATTTACCAAATAAAAAGTTATGGTGACTAGTAGATTGAATAAATTTAGTTGGTCAATTGTGGATGCAAACGGACACATAAGATAGTTTGTCTGTTCACGTTCCTATATGTCACGCTAAATGACAGTTTATTTATTTTCCAACACTGTCACATATTTGATATATAAACTAATGTTTTTTATTTGCAAACAAGTAGCCCCGGAGAGTAATTTGCGCTCATCGGGACTCATTAATAATGCGTACTATTTCTGAGTTCCGAAGGAACGTCGCAGTAGGACCCTTTGGTTTGTGATTGAAAATCCCCAAACCACCCGGCTTACACAGGCAGAAACAGAGTGCGCAGTAATAATAAAAACATTGCGTTTGGCGAATTCAACCCCTATAAATGCCTGACAGTTTGAATATTTTATGACGTGGTTAGCACGATTGGAAGTACCTGGTCCGGTATAGCATTTTTGATTTGTTGCACATAAGCCTATTTATTCAGTGAAGACCAGCACAAATTCACTATGCAAACTAAATTACACCTGCTACTTTGCTTAAAATTTTGGAAAAATCAGGACATTAAAACATCATGGCAAATATAGTCCCTCAGTTTCAACGATCTGTCACAAGTGGCACACGAGTCGGTCCGTTCTGACGAATAAATGGATCTGGACATTCGGTATTCGACAGGTCATCATACAGCGAGCTCCTTGGAATAAGACCGCTTGGGACATTGATTTAGCAGGACCTCATGTTCAGAATAACATGCCAGTGGGTTCGATGATTCATAGCAAACGTGCAACAGCAATACAATGACATCCAAGGCGTTTCAGTAGCACAATTACTCTGCTTGATGAATGTACTTCAGTGAAAATCTTTATTTTCATATCTTTCAGGGAATTTTCGAAAACGAAGTTTGTTTGTGAATAGCTACCAAGCTCACGTAGGAAGTATACATCTTCTAAGCTATTTACCCTCGACATTTATACTAGCAACATTATGACGATCAGAAAACGGTAACTTGCCTCAATTTCAGTAAAATGGAATACCGAACACAAAATCAGTAATCTTTCGAAGACATACGAACTGCAAGTCGGAATAGAACAGTAAATCAGGCGCACAAATCAGCTACGAAGAAAGTACAATCCAGAGGAGCGTGAAGATATCATTCCTGATGATCATAGAAGCCAGTGGTTAGACGATGCTACAACACACACCGCACGACCACAGTACACAACCGCAAATGTTGGATTTGGCTACGCAAAAAAATGGTCAATGCCGGCATCTAGGTATCCTCATCGTAATAGACGTTTCACAGAACCCCCCCCCAGGTAAACCACGAATGAAATCATACGAGCCTCCAGGAATTACGGGGAGAGGTGTTAGGGGTGCCAATAGTCAGTAAGTGAACAGACAGTATCCTTTACCTCTTATGATGTTGTCATGTGGTTTAGTGCTTTATGCGTTCATTCAAACATTCATGGATCTGACGGTCAGACGTTCTTTGTTCTTTCTCTCGCTCTGGGCGATCTGGGAACGTAACAGTGTTCACATTGTTAGTGAAATTGGGAGATCGCACTGCACTGAGAGAAGAATCGTCTAGGGCTTTCCACGTCTAACATTAGTATGCGCTTGGTTGCTTATATCTGTGACATGGTTAGGATCGATATGTTCAATTACGGGCACTGTTCATAGCTCATCCTCCACCAATATGCGCAGTACTTTCATACTAGTCCTACTTTGGTATTCTTTGAGAGTTGTTATCATTTTTCTTACAATCACAACGGTTATCGATCTTGGGTAGGAATGATCTACTTCTCCTGCCTGGATCAATCTGATCATTGGTTCCGGGAAAAATACTGGACATGTGATTCTACCTCTTTCCTATTTTGAGATCAGTTTCACGAATGCCAACTTCATTGATCAAGCAAAACTTGAAAAAAGTGACGAGATTAGTCGACTTTCTCCATAGTATTGATCAATGAAATCACGGGAACAATGAGAAACGGTGAGAGGATTTCGCTAAACGAATAACTGATGCTTGAGCAGACACGAGGGCAACTGGTGAAAACTCACGGTGTCCGGAAACTCGGGCAGAGTCGGGAGAGTGGAGAGTCGCTTAAAAAGAGTAATAAGTGAATCTTACAGCTCATTTGAATTAATCAACATAACCTTTTCTCGTTTCTCCTCACTCCCTTTATTCAAGTGAATAAAACCTGCAACCAAAGTGGATCACTTTGTATCATGCGTTGAAGTCCATGTAATATTGTGTGAGGCTTATATTTTCATTTTGATTTTATCGCATGATCTGACAAATATTTGAATATGAATTATGATATTTTCATTGCTTATTGTGTAGGTATGCGCAAACTATTCAGCTATTTTATGGAAACCCAAATCATGTAAATCACTTGTGATTTTCCAGGTAGGCAGTAGGATTCCATATTAGTTATTTCAGGAACCTCAAATCAAAAATCACTAGGACAAAATTGACAAGTCATATTATTACCTTAAGTTGTTGAGCATGTAATAAGTTTCTTATTCATCCTCGCAAATATATGTGATATTATTTCAAATATGTATCGTTGATCGCTGGATGGATTACTCCAGAGAACAGATCAGACGACTCGGCGCTAGCCAGATTATCTCTAATATTATCACTACAATCAAACAAAGATGTACTCATTGTATCACGGAAACCTAGAATGAAATATTTAGACAAGTTATCGAAGACTTTTTGAAGAAAGTGGTAACATTAATAAAACCGGACTGAGTGGAAAACGATTTAATGAATTTGGAACCTCATCGATTGGTTAAACCACTGTCCTCCCGGACAGTCCACTAGTGTGTACACATTAAATTAGGGCTGGAAAACTTTGTGATATAGTTTTTTACATCAAAATAGTATTCTGCTTATTTTGAGACCATTCTGTCGATGATCAAAATACCGAATGTTGGTTTGCAATCCTGTAGATGAAACGGCTCTCGTGAAAACGATGTATTCAAATGATAGGTAAGGAAAAGTTGTTTGGTATACCCCTGACAAGGTAGTTCATGGTGCGATTAACTCAAAATTACAAATGCGTTCGCCGATGGGTGGCGGGGAGGGGCGGGGAATCGAACTGGTGTAGCCACTGCCATCCGTGAGCAGGAAGCACAAGAATTCCTTCTTTTATAGGCCTTAAAAAATGCGAAAACACTTTACCGTTTAGTTAGAATGGAAGTAATTGGGGAGGATATTAAGGATCTGCGTCTCAATACGCCCATTAGTTAGATTCTATAACCGAATTGCACATCGGCAATATATTTTCTTATAAAACAATGTGGGGCACGTGCTGCCTCTTGGAACTGAAACCCGGACCAGTGCTATCTACTATTTATTTGTTCTTCCTACTGTATACATTCACTAAAAAGAATACACATTATACAGCAGGTTGAGCTAACACAGCAGACAAGCTGTTGTTGGGATCCTACAAGCTGCACCCTATAATGACAATTCATTTTTTCAGAATAATGTTCGGTTTATTTTTCATTGTTCACTTTGAACGTATGGCGATATTACGTGTATAGGCGTATTGCCAATGTAACAATAAAAAGAATAGCTTATCCATGACTTACTCAAGAAGAACTGACTACACAGAATTTTCGTATCCGAGATATTGTTGGCCAAATAGGACAAACATGAGGGTGGAATCGGAGCTCCTTTTCCCATTCGGTAGTAGTGTGGAAGAAAATGCGCATCGTAGATATCTGTTTTTGGGGTAAGAAATGGAAAAAGCAAGAGGGGAAAGAGAACTTGAATCAAACGGTTGAAAAGAACGAAAATCCCATCATTTTTAATTTGTTTTATTTCGGCGATTGTGAAATTAAACAACCACAAATTCGCCTGATGAATACCAGACAAAGCATTTAAAGTAGTTTGGTCATAGACCTGTATTTTGCCACTTCAGTCTCCAGCCGGTTACAGATCCCATGCATGCAAATAGAAACTAGATCAAATGGTTCCTCACAGTAAACAACAGTTATGGCTAAGGTTTTTGCGCGGTCATCTGGCTTTAGTTAGTTGGATGGTTTAACTAACTACCGGTACATTTAATCGGTCCTAAACGATCACGGACCATAAAGACTGAAATAATTGAACCAAAATTTTTGGGGCCCATAGGCCAGATTGCCTAGGTTATGGCTAGAGTGCGACGCTGAACACATTTACCTTTATTGAGAGAGGTACGATAAACGGATGTACCTGATGACCGGGGTCACCTTTGTGCCTTACATTCGGCTTGTCCTTGGCTTTACAAACGTGAGTGAGGCTTTACAAACGACCGAGGAAAAATGCACCAAATGGACCTGGAAGGATTGCTTAACCGTTGGCAAGCATCTAAATCGTAGGTACATCTCAAAACACAACGTAATAAAGCAGCTTCAAGGGTGGTACTCATTTCTCTGTTCTCACGTTCTCTCTGTACCCATAGGTTCGAGGAACTGTTCAGTAACAGAATTTCCTTTAGGTTACAAACTAACGGTTTCTGCGAGAGATTTCGGTGATTGACAAATGAGGTTTTACTTCCCTAGACAGATGACGGTGTCCGTTCTCACACAAGATGTTTCCTATCGACTTCAAATCATCACCCGGCGCCTCCTCAAAATGGACTGTTCTTATCACTGCTTTCTTTGCATTCGAAAAAAACCAAGGGAGTCAGTATACCGGTCTCTGCTTGAGAGACTCTTGGATATTGAGAAAAGGTTTGTAATTTCAAAAGCCACAATATTATGCATATGTTCTGTATCATACAGGTGATCAACAGTCTCTACAATTTGTTAATAACTATATTGTTAAATTCACCTACGGTAAGTTCATATAAGTATACAGGTAAACCGGTAATTGTAGCACCAGACCATTTATGTTAGCAGTGAATTGAAGCTGATCATGTCTCTACTTATGCAATTCACTCGGCCATGGAGAAGATTTCAAATCACAAATCTTGTTCACGGGCGGGATATGAAAAATAAAGTATTCTCAAATGTCCATCCATCTCTGCTGGCAATCCGTTGTTATACCATGCAATTAAGCATGTCAATTGAGCACATTGTGGAAAAGAAATATGATAATCATTTGCATGATTATGATAATAAAATGTTGAGCTTTTGTTCAGGATTTGGAAGAAAGTTATGTCAGCGCTATAATAATTTATTTGTTTTGGTTCGTTCTGGTAGCATCTCGCCTTGGAGAGAGAGATAGGTTACGTAATTTACGGGGCCTTTGTTACAACCTGAACGAATCACGAAAACTGACTGTTACAGTTACTTTGCGTCTGCATATCCGCTTTCCTGCTCAGTAATCGATAAATGTCATTGAAAACACTGCATTGTGGAACAATGCAGTGNTTCGATTAAACAAAGGGAGTCTTTCATCATCGGCATTCTAGACGTTTGTTGGTAAACCTGACAAGAGAATCCAAAACTATCTCTCCATTGGAGTAAACAACATATGGATTCATTCTTGTGGATTTCCCCTAAGCTGGTATACTATGGAGGGGAGATGAATTCAAGGATCGCCAAAAATGTCAAACCAGCAGAACGTCAAATGGTTAAAAGCAAATATTTCACTGCTAGAAACGTTAAACTCCTATTTATTCGGTGAAAATTCCTTCGCATTTTGAAAAATGTACCCCTTTGTGCAAGTGTGTGAAGGAAAGAGAAGCCGTATAGACCTGAAAATGTTGAACAATCAGCGGCTGTCGAATTTTGTCGACATTTGGGTTTGAAAATGACCTTAAAGAAGTGACACGTAGCGCGTTCAAATGTGCTCTAGGAATTGGAGACAATGAATTGGTATTTCCAGTGCACAGCCAATTACATTCAACGTGCTGTCGGAAACCACCTTGGTTACCTGGAACAAAAATTGAACACCTTCGGTGGATTGGTAAAACCCTTTACGGAATGTGGTGCGTACACTGGCTTGCTGAGCTGGGTCACCGAACTGCAGATGTTTCGTTAGCAATAGATACGTTTTTCATCTTTAATCACTTAAATAATTATCGACATTGAAAATATTTTGATCAGTTGTTTTGAGGATTCTGGGTTACTCAAGACTGGATTCTGAAATTGAATATCACAATCGAAATCAGTGGACGACAGACATTTTGTATCAACAATGTCATTCATTGAAATCATGTAAAAACTTGAAACGGAGTTCGATGAAAATCCCTATTTTTGTAGTATTTCGAAAACTGCAGTATCAAAATTAGGTTATTCTACATATTCATTGATTTGGTAATGTAACCCACTTCTTATCAACGATTGAAACTGCCTATCGGCATAATTCAAAGAGATTGAAAAATAGTTCAGCTGTCCAATTCATCTGTCATTTTATGGAACCCTTGGAAAAACTCCCAAAGAAAATAACTTTCGTGTTCGATTGTGGAGTTTTATGTCGCCGCACGTGATTTCGTGGTAGAAAAAGCACGATCATTGATTTGGCTCACTTGATTAGCGGGTGATGCGTATGCCGTAGAGGTATATGTAAGTGGTGATCATGTATAGGATCGAATACGATCAAATAAACTGCTCTTTTCACTCACTTATTTTGAAAAAATGGTTCCCAAATTCGCCTACCGTAGTTGGTTTGAGTTAAACCATGTCCGGCATATAAGATACAAAAAAGAAACCCGCCAACACGGCAATTAGAACGTAATGGGTTTCAAAGTTTAAAGTAAAATTTTTGAAGAACTGCAACTGTAGTTCAGTGAAGAGAGCTAATATTTAGGCTCTGGTTTCTCACACATCGGGAGCCTGTATTATGATAGACACTGGACTGACTTAATCAATAAGCATCAGAGTTGACAGCCCTTGAAAGTTTGGGATATTGGGGAACTATTCTACACATGTACCTTACCTTTTTCAATCTGCTGTACACACATACCAATACAGAAAACTGTTGACATCTACGAACATCAAATAACCACCGACTTTGTTAGAGTTTAACACAAATGGCATCTCTCCTCAACACTAAATGTTTGCAGTATTCATTCGGGATAAATAAACCACTTATCTCCTCAGCACTTGATAAACTAACAAAATATGCAATTATTGCTGACATTATAGTGCTTAATGCAGTACTATGACACATGTGCGGTCCTTGTTTAAAGCGTTCCTCAGAATTAGGTGTATAAATATCCTTCCTCTGTCCTTCTTTCTGTATGCATTTGGAATATTTTCGATCAGATTGGGACCTCGTGAACATGGTGATCAAAAATCGAGTCCTACGTAAGAATATTTTGCCAAGTTTATCATATACACCTTTAAAATATGTGCCTAACATCTGTTGTGTTTTACATTCAGCGGTCATCATATTTTCATTTCAGTCATGGGGGAGAGTCGACAGTTTTGTTATAACTGGTCCAGTTGTTTGTCCCGTGAGCAGAAGCCGGTTAATGTGGTCGGTCAGTCCCGTTCCTTCCGTCCTTCCACAATCAACCAATCCGAATTTTCAAGCTCTTCAAATCTAGAATGGTCATCCACAGATTCCACCTACTTGATCGTTTGGGTTTTCTTACACCTTGACACTTTGTCTTGGATTTGTCTGAAATCAGTCTAACATACTTGGGCTGTCGAAGGATAGAATGCCGTCACTTCTGATTTGGACGACTGGGGGATCAAGTGTGTACTGTTTGTTTTTATTCGAAGGCGCGTATCCCATTGCGTTGGCATTATGCGACGACCGACAGGGAATTCGTGGAAAGCCGGTTCTGGGATTTGCAGTGTTTTATTTAATCTGTGAATTATGCGACACTTTGAAATGAACCCGAATAATCCATTGTGGTCTTCAATAGCGAAATAAGCAATAAGACTATTTGTAACTCAATTTCTACGCAAAAGGATTTTACATTTTGCTGATTCGTATAGAGTTACACATCAGACTTCCTTCAATCACATATTTTTATATCACAATTTTTACTATACACCGATCTGCCGTATAAAAGGTATGTTTGAAAACATTGGCATTTTCAATTTCTCCTCTTAGATATATAGTTTCAACGCAGCAGGTAGTTTTGTGGTCTACGGCTCAGTATTTATTTTGTCGTACCGTATGGCAAAAGATTCGTTACTAGAAGTTTCAGGCGTTAGGTTGCACTTTAACAAATATGAACATTGGTTACTGGAGTCTATAGACAGTATTCTGTCTGTTATTCGTCGCGTTAAGTTGTGTGTATTGCAACTATTTTGATAGGTGCCAAAACGGTCCAAGTGTCCATCTTTTCAATGCATCGGCGTTTCCAGTATTAACTGTTTGCATTGACAGATGGTAATCTATGAGTATTTTGATGAAGTATGCGCAAAATATGTACCCAAACAATCACGATTAGGGTTTTCATGATGAGACTCATAAACAACGCACACATTTTGTTCCAGTCCCCGACACGACTCGAATCATTCTTCCTCCGGTTGGTAGTCGAGATAGTTACTCTTACGCTACACGGTCAATGGTGGTTAATCTGTACATATAAAGCTGCATGAGTTGGTCGAATTTGTTTTCCTATATTACCCGTGAGAATTCACAAATATTAGTTGATGTGTGCGTGTCTGAGTGTACTTTTCTTGTTTTGTTACACAAAAATACCCACAACCTGATGTCTGTGAATTTGGAATTGCTGGACAAAAATATATTTCATTGCCTCTGAGAAATCCATTTGCATCAAACTACGATGTTGTCATGACGAAAGGGCGCAGTACAGGTCGACTACGTCGAGGCGAGTTCCACACGAACTAATAAAACCAGTTAAAAAAGCCAAATGTTTCTCAGGCCTTCCAGTGAGGTTACCTTTACATACAAAAAATGACTAGAGACGGTTTGTGTATCCGAATACAGAAAAGAAGCAGCCATAAAAACAGTTATGTTTGCTCGCGCTTCGGGTTCCGGTGCCTGAAGTCAGAATTTGCGCGAATCATCGCAGACCATGTGGGATACCCGATCAACATTTGATCGGCGTGAGAGATGAAACAGAAACAAGATAAAAGAAAAAAGGTGCTTTTCCTCGTTTATCCGATTGATGTCCAAAGTGCGTGACTCCGCTCTGTGTTTATTTTCTTCATCATCACCGACAAAGAGAGGACACTTGGAATCATGTTCTGTGCCTTAAATAAGTGCAACTGTGATGATAGTTTCTTATAGTAAATTGAACACTAATTGTAGTGTATTGTTTCCAGTTAATAGAAATGGCGCTCTAACGCACAGACTCAACAGATTTGAAGCAACCAAAGGATAGTACCACGGAATTACTGAGAAACTTGTTTCGACTGATTGAATTGGTTTCATTGAGAATCAGTAAAAGCCCTAATAAACAAAAGGAGAGGGTTCGGATTAATGGTCAAAATGATATCGTCAAAATAATCCGTCTTGTATAAAGACTGCAATTCATCCGGCAGTGCAAACAGTCACATGCAGCTGTTTATAGATCTCTCCCGAAGAAGGTTTTTGGGCAAATAGGTAATACTAAAAAATATTATATATATATATAATACTAAAAAAATATAAAATATACTGCATACCAGCGGGAGAGTTGAAATAACGAAAAGCGATAAATGCATTTTGATGTTTTCCAATAATATAGATAACGTTTTCTGGGTTTTCAGCTTTCTAATGACTGATTTGACCAATTTGTTTCTCCATACTGGAGCTGATCTGAAGAGCAAAGATTTCTTTCACCTTTTGAGCAAAACATCTCTCTGTATAGCTACCACTACCACTCAAATATATTTTATCAAAAATTCACTTATTACCAAACAGAAGATAAACATTTCCTGCCTTAATCCGTTTATTTTAACCGGACTTATTGGTCTTACTTCGGTGGAATACAGTGTTGTAAATGTGTAACAAATTTAAAACCATGTAAAAATTCAAGTTACAATAATGCTATCTGTAGTCACGATGTCGAAATACATTGCTCATGTTATCTGTCAATCGGCAGATGGAGTTTGGTGAAGGGACGAATACCAGCGGTGGCTGGAGACTGCACGTCACTCTGTCCGTTCTCCAAATCGGTGTTGTATGGTTCTGGCAAAGTAAGTGAATTTCTCGTCGAATATTATTTCTTTATCTTTTTTTCTTTTACATATGGTCTACAATAATTCGTTAGATATAAGGCTTTTGGGATATTAGCCCACGTTTGAAATATCTTCTGATCTCATTCAGGCAAAAAATGACGGATTTTCATGTTTTTACCTCCTTTTATGGTAAGAACGATTTACACTAGTGAATTAGTGGTCATTAGGCAGCCGCACGATTTATAGAAAATTGAGAGATATCGCTGGTGTTTGGGGAGTTGGAGTGAGCGACATGCGCCCCTAACTGCTTGACAGCTGCTTGTGCAACTTGAGCGTAAACCAAATCAATTCTTGATAGAAGCCATCTATAAAATACTCAAATAATTGGATGTAAGGAAATCATTATCCATTTCATTTCCATCCATTTCTTATGAACCGAGTTATCTTGGTATCATCTTTACAACTATGTTATCATACCATCATAGAATGATGCATTATCCCAGACATTGATCGTCGCAAACTAGGGTTCCAGTGGGCACACCACTCTTGAACAATGGAAGTAATGATATGATGAGTAGACAAAAGCACCGGTCTCTCCAACAATTTTATCTGATTTTATTACCCTATGTTTTTATTGTAGGAAAACCAGCCGGTTTAGTGTTTAGCGTGCGTTGGTCAGGCTTCGTTGATTCGCATTTAATCCATGTTGACTGCAATACCGGTTTTCTCAAACAATGTAAATGGAACCAGTCGGAGAATGGGAAATCTACCGGTTGCGCTACATCTACCATTTTCTTCAGAGCACCTTTTGCATTATTAATAAAGTTTACTTTCATTGTCTTTTTGCATACTGCTTGCCGATACCACAGTTCAAAATGACAGCCCCAGCCATAAACACTGATCGTTAGCGATGGATACCAGCAGATCTGTTATCGTATTTTGTAAGGGTATGTATTTTTCTAATGCTGATACAATATTCATTCCGTGGAATTCGAAAAATATAATACTAAACGACTGATTGATTTCAGCTTCGTCGGATTATGTTCCTTGGCCTCTGCTTTTCGCATACGTGGAATGTTGAGAGTGCAGAAGAAACCCTCTGTAAATGACACAGGCGATTCAGCTCGGATAGGTGTGGTAACGGACAATGAAACATCGTAAATTGTTTACGTAACACAAAACCGAATCGCCTTGTAAGTAAAAAAAAACATCTAGTAAGTAAAATCCTTGAGGGGGCAGTATAGCCGGCTGGGGAGCGAAAGAACATTATGAAGCGAGTGCTGAGTCATCCACCATTTGTTTGTCCGTAAGAACAGTATTCATTAATTCATTTCATGCGATATACTATTAGGAACACACTTACTGCACTGGCCCTGTGACCTGTCTGGTTAGACAGTCACTGATCTCACGAAGGATAGTTCGGATTTCAATAAGAATTTCGGAAAAAGTTCAGATTTGCAAGTACCTTCAAAGTGTTTAAACTAATACTTCTATATTACGCTCGTATTGATGGTAGCTGATGCCGTTTGCTCTTTGAAGATCATGGAAATGCTCGTTATATTAACACTTAGTAGACTATTTGTGGCAACTTTCTCCACTCTCTTACATAAACTGTTTTTAAAATATTGAGACCATCTTCGTAGTTAACGGTTGCCGTATATGGCATTTCAAACACGAACACAATCCGTGATACTACACCAATGGCTTCATCCGAGACTAGTCTAGTTATTTTGCATTTCAAACTCATTTGCTGTTTTGTTTCACTTGTTGAGTGACCCGACTTTTCGTCGCCTAATAATCCACCAAAATAATCAAAGCAATACCGTTGATTGAACTTGAGGCGTAATGCTCAAGGGCAATCATCTTCATCAAACGTGGCTAAAATGACAAAACGAATGAAATGCACTCACGTCTTTGGTGTATAGATCTGATTTGAGGGCAGATCGTTGTGTTCCAACTGGGATGAAGGATACTCAGATAAAAGAGGATCAGGGTTCATCGGGCCTACTCAGATTAATAATATAGAGCGATGAACCTCAAAATACTTGATCGAGTTATTGTGTGACCGAATCGGTTTACTGTCGCCAATCATCTTTCCATTGCCTCGGAATTGTCATTCACACTCTGAACGGATATATAACCCCGATTGAGAGTTGTCAAAAGTGCATATTTTGTGTCCTCGCCAGGACGCAAAGAGCCGGATACAAACAAACTATTGATCTAGTCTTTCAAATGGAGTGTTGACCGCTTGCGTTGTATCCCAGTGGATACTGCTCACAGCCGAAATTTTGCCGTTTGATATCGGTAAGATACTATAATTGAGCACAGCTTATAAGTCCGAAATAACTGTGTGGTGTACTTTGCTAGCCCTCACAAAACCACTTGCATCACAAATATGTGTTAGATTATTGAACTCCATTGCAAAAAAAATAAGACTATTCAATGTGCTTAGTACCAGTGAGGTCATCAAACAATCTACATCAATCAGTCGTTTTAATAATGTGATTGTCTTATATGAATCTCGTAAGCAAGCGCTAGTCTACTCTGAGTACTATTTACTCATAAGGCATAACTGTAATGCTTCGATTAAAGTAAGGGTGAAACAGTTACTGAGCCTGCAGTCTGACATAAGCAACGTAATTACCAGCAATGAGGAACCTAAAACCTTGAAACGTGTTTAATTACGGAAGATATTGTGATCCTGCTGAAATGTCTACGAGGAAATTTGTTTACCAAAAGCCAGCTTTGGTGGGTTGTACTTTAGTTTAAAAAGATAGACAAACTTGCCCTGGTTTGATTTCGTTCAAACTCATGACCACCTTAATAAGAACTTATGCAGTTCCGCGCACAAATTCCAATGTTGTACACATCACAATGAACTGTGTTTTCAAAGGAACACGGTTACAAAAGGGACGATTTTTCAGGTGAGCAGACGTTAAGCGCTCCTCGTTTTGGTTATTGACAACCTACTTTTAACTCTATTTTAACCAACGGATAATTGTCTAGTATAACGTTATCCTAGATACCCCCAGCATCATGGGGTTCTCGAACAAATTTGTATTTTCCTGAAGAGTGGAAGCTTATTAAAAAAAGTTGTTTTTTAGTTGTCAATCAGCACACACAATGTTAACATAAAGGGGTTATTTTATTGATGAAATCGCATGTGTGGATGAACTGATTGAAAATTGACTCGTCGTTCTTCATTGATAATTATTATTGTGGATAAATGTTCCCTAACTATTTTTTCTCCTCGAACTATCAAGAGACATTCACCTCAAACTATTGGATTCTACGAGACGAAAAAACGTTTTATGAAACAATATTTGGACTAAGCATTTCACAATCATTTTAGGTATTGTCCGGGCACTACTCACCTGCTCCCTCATAACACATACTCCAAATACCTGCGTGAAAATCCATCACGACCCAGGCGACATCATCCTCGTGCAGCCGATCATGTTTGAGCAGCATATCACCATCGTCCAAATGTTGCAGCGCAGACAGTCGTCTTGGTTTGCCAAGCGGTGGAGACAGAACGGCTCGAATCTGTCTGTGCCTAGTCCCATCCTGATCAGGTATGGGATGCTCGGTCAAACGAACAAAGATGCCCCAAATATTTTCGATCGTGTACGGTTCACGAATCGGACGCTGCTCCAAAATTGCCACATCTTTTGCCGTTGCCAATTGTCCATTTTGAAATACTACAAAATCGACCGAAAAATTTCTATAGTCCGTTGTGCTTGCAGTACGATTTTGTGGCAAATTGAACTGGGATTGAAAATGAAAGAAGTTTCCATAAACAAATTGAACTGATTCCCAACGTGCGTGGAGTGTAGCGCAGAGGAAAATCAAACCGCCCACAACGGAAGAGGTAAGAGCGATAAATACTATCCGACGATAGATCGAACTTGGAGGCCACGGGTTTGAGACAATTTTCCATGCTGGACGCTTTTTCCTAATCGGCGCGCGGGAATAAAGTGGTATGATAGTAGACAGACCAGTTTGACCTAAAGTTGAAATAGAGCTAGAGCGTCGAGATCCAGATGAGCCGGAACCACCGTTCGGTACCGGTAACATAATCCAACAGGAATGTTTATGACTATATTTTGGTATCTATCTTTGATGCACAAAAGATTTAGCTGTTCTATAATAAAAATTATACACTTATTCTGATCCGCGTCAAGATCCGCAATTGCAGATGGACCTCGTGAAAAAATGGGGCTGATGTACTCCCGGTCGGTGTTTGTGGCACGTGATAGGTCACACTTGCATTTGTGTTCAGGAGTGTGTGGACCGGCTCGCTCTTGAGGAAGCTGATGACAGACGATAAACGATCCGAGTCTCATTAGATCGTGAGACGGACATGCTCTTTTTGGAGCCTGTCCGCATCCGCATAAATTGCACGGTGGCAGATCACATACACGTAAGCCATGGATGCCACACACGCGCGCGCGCACAACACGCACTGACCGACCTAAAAGTGTTGACAATGTTGGGACAAGTATCGATGACAGTGAGGCAGACATGTGTGGGTGTGTTTCGAGAAGTTGACCAATGAACATCGTGCGTCACACCACGTATTCATTCACTCACTCACTGATAAAAGGATCGTCACAAGAGATTGAAATGGGGTTAATTTACTCATCCCGTCAGGCAACATATCCCGGGTAAATGAAAGCAAATTGGGTTACAAAAATGCTAGAAGATAGAAAAAATAGAACAGAATGATGGGCGAGGTTTTGGTTGGTCTAAAGAGGGTCGATTGAATCAGTATAAAAACATCGGAATGCTTACTCCCTTACAGCAATGCATTCGTAGGAAATGACTCACTGGTTGTTAGGATACATTGTACGGAGTACAATAGTATGAAAAACAGGTGTACATGTATCCCTGGATTTAGGGATTGAAAATGTACATATTATGCTTCTGCTTCTCACGCGGTGTTTTTTCACAGGAATGTTGTAAAGATATGATTAAAATTGACGCAACAATGAAATGTCTAATTGAAAACTTAGAGTGAATTGCAGCGCACGATTTGTTGCCTAGGCCAAGCGAAATCAATTGGAATGTGAATGAGACAGGGGTTGACATTTTCTAACGCTGAATACCAATACCGAGGCAATTGAAAGTTTGAACTTGTCCGGATATGTGATGGTTTGAATTATCCCTCATGATAGCTCTGAAAGAACCGTCTATCTAATGGTCCCCCGGTGTTGCAAATGAGGTTATTCTATATATATATCCAAGCATATGAATGAACTGAGAAAAGACTACGGGGTACGCATGCCTGAAGAGCGGCAGCTACAGCGAAACCGATCGTGTGCTTCCAGGGAACTTTGGTCCAGCCATTCACATACTACTTGTTGTCAAAAATATATACCACTTTAGGAGTGCAGAGCGAAACGGATGTATGTAAAACACAGATATATCTCGTCATTTCAGTTTCGAATATTGAGATTGATTGCCGCAATATTAAGCACTTTTTCCATTGTAATTTGCCCAAGTGTCAAGAAGAAAAAGGACGACCCTGATTATTGCCAGATTTGCGTTATAATGAGATCGATGTGTATACCCAGGAGCTTCATCCCAAAGACCAATCATCCAGATCACACGAACACAGTTATCGTGATTTTTACCTCTAAGTGATCACCGCCTTCGATCGAACGCAACCCTCCTGCAGTTCCCAGAAGGCTAAATAACGCCAACTGATCTTGTGATATTAAGATTTCTCGTACAGATTCTCAAAAGGACCAATTAGGAGTTTGAGCTCCAGTACTGCTGGAAACCAGCAGTTAAACATTATTGATCATAAATGTAGATTTCTTTATAGGTTTATTCCCGCTGTCGATCAGTATTGACTTCCTATGTCAATCACGTCAACTTGGTAGTCTCAAGAACACGTCACTACTATATACTTTACAGTCAGCGCACAAATGCAAGTTTGCTAACATGAATCGGAGGGAAACTGTGTGCATATACCCCTGTGAACCAGAGTTCGGTAAAGGCTATTCAGAATTCCACGCCAATGATCTGTGACTTTTAATTACTGATTCTCTGCAGCAGTGAGACTAAATAATTGGTGTACGGAAATTTCAAATGCACCTGTATATCAGATAACCAGTGTTAAGATAAACGGGGAATTTAACCCTTGATTATGTATTGATGAGCTTTGTACGCCATCTAGAAAAGTAACTGCATTTGAATCGTACATGAAATTTCTTCCCGGGATGAGAAGAAAATGCTTAATTCATCTTAGAGACAGTAACTGGGAAAAGACAATTGGCAATAAGTTTAGTTATAACGAAATGATTTTTCCCTGTCTCATTTGCAACGTTTTCTTCGCGTTATGCCAAGAAAGTATAAACTACTGATTGTAGTGAAAATGAGTATTGTGATGCTGTGATCTGAATTTTAACAAGGGTACTTTTCCGTACGACCCATTTTCGCGAGCTTGTTGCAGGCCACAGACCTTGCTCATTTCAAACCTAGCCTCCAGGATTATGAATCGGTTGAAAACACTCACAACCTGACCACTTATTTACACAATATAGCACAATATATCGTGTAAATGGAAAAATGAAAACCGGTCTGATCGGCTGCCCGGTGGTTGAGTGGTTAACACGCTTGCTTTCTGCCTGTGAAGTCCCGGGTTCGATCCCCAGTTAGGTCGATGAATTCGCACTGCTAATTAGGCCCGAGCAGGTCGCAACCGCTGTCAAGTGCTTCCTAGCTTTTCCGTTTATGCTTAATTTGACATATACATGACAAATTTCCTTGCATAGATGAATTTGGCTTTCACGAATGAAATCAGTTCCAAAAATGTCGTATATGTTACGTCCTCAGCTTTTGATCACCCTAGGCGCGGGTCCCTTGGAAGGATGTCCTAAAAGTTCTCGCCACCTTTGCTTTCTGGAATTTATAGACACAATTTGTTAAATGTGCGTGCCTGAAGCATATACACAATGGAATCCAGGTTAAAAATTAAGGATGTTGTTATGAAAAACATGCTGTCACATCTGGAGTGCCAGTTGCTGGCCAAGCGCAAAAATGCTGCAAACGCGGAAAACGCATTCGTGCCCTTAGTCGTACTACTTCCAGCAAGATGACTGCACCTAACATTGTGAGTAACAATGTCCGCTCTGTGTTTGGGAAGTTTCCCGATTCATCCTAACTGCTCCAGCGAAAGGCAATTCGCACCTCTTGTGTCTTGTGTCTTCAGGATTCATGGCTCAATGACGATGTGGACGATTC